TTTGATTTCATTTCTAAAACCTGCACCATCACGCCCACCCAAAAAAAAAAATTCTGCTATAAAGGATCCCAAATCGTGCCATCTTGCGAGGAAGTTTTCCTGAACTCTGGAAGGCTTCGTTGAGTTCGCTTCACCCCATGCATGCGTGTGCAGAGGAGAAATCACATTCGCAGGGTGGACACCGCGGTGCTTGTTTCTTCTACTTCAGCTACCGCGTGGGAGACTCCCATTGGACGCGAGCGCCGCGTCAGCGTTCGGCTGGGACTCGCGTCCAATCAGCGACTCGCGCAGGCCTCCGATAGGTGACGTAAAAGCTCCAGCATTGCGGCCTTGTCAGGCGATTTCTTTGGTTGACACTCTGGCTGTTTACGTGTGTCAGTGCAGTCGAGACATGTTTCAAGGCGAGGAGCTTGCGTTTGTAAGGCTCGTGAGCTGACACAAACTTTATTTCCCCTTATAGTACGTGAAAGTATCTGTCCTTGATTCGGTTACAATATTGGACGAAAAGGACGAAAATATTGGACGCTATTGGACGAAAAGGAGAGAGCTCTCCTTTTCGTCCAATAGCGTCTCTGGGTTTTGATCGTCGTTGGGGGTGTGTCCCTCCGCACTTCTGGCTCCACCTCCGATTACGTCATTTCGCCTCCAGGATCTTCCTATCTCCATGGTGTGAACGCGAGCAAAAGGCATGCAGTGCTCTTCTGAGCAGACCAGAGCGTTGGGCTTTCTTTCTAGCGTAGACTTTGTTTCACGTAACATTATATTACGAGCAGATCAGAACGCGAAAGTAAAAACAAATAAAGCGTCTTAACTAGCTGGAAATCAAGCTGTTTTTGTTTAGTGTGGCTTTGTACTTTGGGTTGCATTCGTTTAGTCTTCCGCATTGCTTTCAGTGATCGGACCGATTGATCGATCAATCAGGTAGGTGTGGGAATACGTCCTGTGATACAATGATCACTATTTCCTAGCTGTAGTGATTTAAAACAAATTATTCTGATTTATATAAATAAAATCAACATTATTTGGCTAAAAAAATCAGGATTTTCTTTCTTTTTTTTTTGCACAAAACCCTATTTATAAGCAATGAGTTTCAAAAGAACGTTGGAAATGATCCCTATCCATATTGCTGCAATTCTACTATAGTGACCTCACAGTTCGCAGCATTTCTGGGGTTTAAGTAAAATAACTTTTCCTTTTTTTTTTTTACAGCGGAGTTGTTAAGGGCTAGTTTCCCCAGTTTCGTGTCCGTCACCAAATAAATGTCGACACGAAACTCTGGACAGCTACCGCCATCTGTGAGCGTCGGTGGCAACCAGATAACCTGCTTGCCGGTTATTGGTTGCCGCCATCGCTCAATGATGGCGGCTACCTTTCCATCCTTTCCACTTCGGTTTTCAGAGTGGAAAGGTTTAATTTATCTAGGCGTCGTCCTAGAGGTCGTCCTAGAAGTCGACCTTGAGGTCGTCCCACCGTAGTACAGCTTCGCTGGTCTTCCTTCTTCACCAAAATAAAAAGGCTAAAAGTTTTCTTCTTCTTTTTTTTTTTCTTTTTTCTTTTTTGTCGCTTAATTTGTAAATTTATTTAACCATAGCCTATTTGCAGTTGGGGACTACGGTCTCTTCTGTAAACGTTCTTATATATTATGTTCTATTATTTTTCTCTTTTCTCAGTTTCGGCATTTTATGCAACTTCCATTGTACCCTCGCCTCGCATTTTTTAATTGTTTTTATTTTCTTCTGGGCGGCCTAAATGCACCGGGAATTGAATCACAAAGTAGCGAGGCATGACGACCCGACTCGGAGAGATTTGTCGCATTCAATTATACTGCGACTTCGCGCATGCGGGCTCTATATAGTCCATTCTCTAATCTTTTCGGGCCGGGAGCACGGTGTTCCTGAAAACTCCGGGAAGCTTTGTTCTTAATAATTCTGTCACAATTCGGGTTCGTCGAGAGGACTGGCTTTGTCCTCTAATTCTGCTCGGCGAAATAATGAAGCTCTGATTTCGTTTTCTTTTTTTTTCTTTTCTCGTAAATTCGTGTTTTTCTTTTATGTTTTTGGCGAAGAAAAAGAATACTCAATGGCGAAGTTAATTATCTCTCGCGAAACTCCGCGCGTTCTTAAATTTTGTTAGCAGCAGGTGTGCGCACAGTTTCGGCTACGGGACTTGATTGTGTCCTAACGAGTCTTTATTTCATTAAAGGACAGTTTAATATTAAATTTGGAAAGACGAGCGTGAGATTACACGACGCTACTAATCTTACTTAATTTACGTTCTGATTCGCAAAGAATCGCGATTATATCTTTGAAAGATGTATAACCAAAAAAAAAAAAAAATCTCGGGGTAAAGAACGGTTCCTTCGGGACGACAAATTCAAACCGCGGTGGACGTTGCGGTATGAATGGAAATTAGCAATCTAATTTCCTAAAACCCGCTAAATATTTTTTACAAGTATATTTGCTTTATCTGGCTGATTTGAATTGTAGATTTGTTGCCCGTTGTTCAATTCTATATCAGACCGTTGGACGTGAGACAAACGAAATTCACCTCCGCACAATTCAATGGCGAAGTCAGGCCTGTCAAGAGTCGGATAGGGTCACTGGATCGAGTCCGCCATATTGAAGCAGTTTTTGTGTGACCCAATGCGAGAAAACCCTACGTACAAGAATGCCCCTCATCAGGCAGCATCTGCGGACTGTCTTTTGTAGATAACGTGACGCTGACAGACTGGTTCGCGTTGCCTCGCTGCCCGAGTCCACCGTGGAGTCGACGTCGCCCTCCCGGGTTGAACTTCGTCGCTCTTTTGCGTCTTATAGGTTTCGGTATCTCTTCAGCTATGGCGTATTTTGACGACGGGAGTCCTAGGAATTGTTCCCAAATAAATAGTCCCGAATATTGCGGGACTGAATCTGTCCCTAGCTTTCCTATACAGAGTCCCGGGTCCCGACTTGTCCTAGTCGGGACAGTGTATATGGTGTCCCGGATAGGCGAATTTGGGTCCCAGGTAAATAATTTGTGCGACTCCCGCAGGCTATACGCAAACTTCGGACAGGCCAAGAAGCTCGTAAAGAGCGACGTCCGCGGGGCAGTGAACTGAAACAGGGGACCATTGACTGAGGGGAGTTTTAGCGATTTGTCGAATATGCGAGCGCGACTCTGCAGGTATCTTGAATGTCTAGCAGCCACCCTACCTCCTCTCTCTCCCGACTTCTTTTACTCAAGAGTTGGTAACCCTAGACGGGACACAAATCCTTAGCTGAAATTTGACAGCCAAGGCAAATATTTTTGAAAATCACGCATAACCTGTAAAGCGCTTTTTTTTTTTTTTTTTTTTTTTTTTTTACGGATTCAATTTGTGTATTAAGTTAAACGCAGCCACGAAACTAAAAAAAAGGAAAAAAAAAAATGGTGTACACTTTATCGTGGGAAATGAGAAGACGTCAGTCCTGCCACAGGACCTGCAAGGGCATGAACTTTAATCTTTATGTAGGTGTATAAAGCCTTTTAAGGGGAACTCCTGCTGCACGTGGCTTATAAAATATAATCTCCGCGGATTTGGATCGGGGTGTGAAACGCGTTAAATGGCTCAAGCCAGGCCTGTTGGTTGATGTCATAATGGCCTTGCCCCGGCAGTAGTGCACTGCAGTGGCGTCGCTAGAGGGGGCGGGGGGGGGGGGGGGGGGGGGGGGGGTTTAGACGTTTTTCCAAGAGGCGGTGCGTTATGCTCTTTTTTTTTATGTACATTCTTTGCATTTTGATATATAAGCACCGTTCCGTGTTTTCGGATAAAAAAAAAAACACTCGCCGGTAAATTTTCAGTCAATTCGGATTTATCCGAAAAACTCCAAATTTTGAGGTCACAGCTGCAAAGGAATCAGAAGAAAAAAAAAATCAAGCAAACGGAGTTTTACAACTCAACTTTATAAAGGCACAAGGTCAGTGGTCCTGAGGATATTCCACTTCAGTTTCCTTCGAAATTTAGAACTACTGACAAAAAGAGGTTTGCTTTTTAGCACGCCGAGGTTCCTTCTGGACAACGGGTCATGGTACCCGGTCTTTATCTAATTTGTTTTTGAATTTTAAAATTTTTACGCAGTAAAATAAACTCTAAAGTTCAAAGAATTGGGAATCCAACAAAATAAACTCCAATAAAACACCGCATCCCCAGCGAAAAAGAAATTCCGAAAAACACCCTCCCAATTTCACGAGAAATAAACTCCGGAAACACGGAATTTTATTTATAACGTTATAAAAGTCGTCTGATCAGGGAAACAAGCCTGACTCCTTGACCACGATGACCTCTGCTCCTAACCTTGGCTTGATCCGGGCCCGGGTCTTCAAGCCAATGTTGCTCGAGCAGCAGCTCTTCACTTTCTTCCCGAAACGGGAAAGAGGTAGAGAGAGCGGGAATTTCTGAAGCGACTGCAGAGACGGACGCTCCAAAACCGTTGGAAAATTAAAGACGGTGCGGGGGGAGACACTTTACGAGCTGCGAACAAGAATAAAATAGACGGGCGAGGGGAGCAATTACGGCGCACTGAAGCGACCGCCATCAAATATGCACTGCTACACCGGCGACACAACACGCCCAAAAGAACCCTAGGCGTGACAGTGTTATTGATTGCTTTCATCGCGTGGGAGGGAGTCTGGATAGTGTAGAGCGGCGGAGCGCGCTCGGCTCTTTTCGTCCGACAACCCTGCAAGTCTTTTTTTTTTCAATCTCGTCTGGCAACTTGGCGGCTGACGTCACTCACCGGCTTTCGCTATCGATTCCTGCGACTGAAAGTCTAGTGCCGATTTCGGATCGACTAAGGTCGCTTGTTTAACGCGCTAATTTTTTTAATTAAAACTCATTTGCTGAAATGTGTTACTTACTAATCTATAAGAATGACACTGTATTGATAAACCACGAGTGGCACTTTCTTTCAGTTCGATGTATCACTCCGCTCATTCGCTCGCTCGAAGCGGGCAAAAAGCAGTCGAAAAGACCAAAACGAAAAAGCTAGCAGCGAGCCGCCCGTCAAGCGTTGGCGTTAGGCATATGCCTTATCTCGAATGCCTGCCGCCAGCGAGGGGCTGTGGTGCGAGCTACGTTAGCCGGCAAAGATGTGAATAGTTGAGACACGTTTAGGGGTCCCCATGTTCGAAATGTGCGGTAGCAGTGTGAGATCGCAAGTGCGCTCTTGATGTGAATGCCGGATGCGGCGGAACAGCGATCGCTATGCTGTGGCATCTTCTGCAAGCTCTGTTCTCCCTGCATGTTGCCACCGCTCTGCTTCCCAGCGAAGGTTGGTCCCGGAGCAATAATATGCAGATCGAACCCTCGATCACAAAACGTGCACGCTAGCCCCTCTTGTCTCCTGTGACCCACGTACGCGTTCTTGCTGCCGTGCACGTTTCGCGTTGCAACTTTTAAAACCAAAGTTGAGCGACGAAGGAAAAAGAAAAAAAAGAAGCAAAGTCGATTTGGAATGCACAAACGTGGGCACGCGCTTGCTAAATGCGATCTGACGCGTTTTTGATACGAAATGATCGCGAGAATTCGCTTCGCTAAGAGGAAGCGTAGTTCGGGGGAGGTCGCGAATGTGGACGAATGTTCTGAAGTCTTTGCGAGGGCTACGCCATGTTGATGGTGTTTTTGAAGTTCCACGCCCTGTCCGCCTTCGAAGAATGTTTGTCGGGGGAATGGCCTCTGGACTCGGAAAGTTTGCCAAGCAAACAAAGCGGGTCGTATCAGGAATCGCGCTTGCTATTACTTCCAAATGTTTGCAAGATGCGCTGGGCAACTTCAGAGATAAGCATGAGGTCTGCGCGGTTCGGTGAAGCTGCCGCCCGCACGTGAGAGATTTAAAGGGACTTACCTTTCACCGAAGGTTTGGGGTACAGGTTTAAATAGGTGCTCTTAAGAATGCCCTACGAGACTACTAGTGTCAAACGCCTTGCAGCGTCGAGCCATATTTGAATCCCGTGTGTTTAGTAACAGATGTCGGCTATTGGGGTGGGGTATTTGCACCTGTCATGTAACCTGTAGTTCTTCATTGCTGTAGTTTGGAATGCAGCTTAAAAGTTTTCCAGCGCACTAGTTTTTGCACTGGTTTTTTGGTATTAATTGCACTACTGCTTTGGTTGCATGTGATCACGGCGTTTGTCTTGGGGGATTCGCGTTCCATTTAGTGAAACTGCCCCGCCATGGTTTATCAATCTACGTTTTAACAAATGGTCAGACTCTTTTTGTATAAACGTTTCGGCACTCTAGGGAGCCATCGTTCATGTGGTAATTAATGTTCGAGCCTGAGAGATTCATTTCACTAGTTTCTCTCACTTATCAACAGATTGGTGACTTTCTATTGCCAGTGGTCTAGGCCCACAGAAAAAACACCAGACCAGCATGTTCCTTGTCTATTGTGCTAGCAGAACTGTCTAATGTGGAATTCCCTTGGCGGATTTGGAGTGGTTTATACATGCTCTATTCTTGTGTCTGCACTGCTGTAGATGCACACCCAAGAAGATACCAAAAAAAAAAGGTGCTCCATAACCGCTCCAAATCAGCCAAGAAAACCCCCCTAGCTTGTCGGCCTCATTCTCATAAAGCCAGGGCCAAAATCTACCACACTTGATAAAATGTTTTGTGGCGGAACCTGTGTTTGATGCAGTAATTCAGACTTGATCAAATATTTTCTGCTGAAACAAGTCAATAGACTGATAGCAAATGGGAAGGGGTCAGAAAGTTTTGTTGCTCATATTTATTTCTTAAAAATATCTTGTTGCAAATCAACAGGGCTATGGGGAGAAACAATGCTAGAAAACATATCCAACCACACAAGAAACCACACCAGTTTGGCCTTGGTAATGTGTAAACGTATGTTCTGAGGTGAACACCTTACAAGTGAATGCTTTTGCAAATGTAAGTAGCAATAATGTATGTCACCATTTTAAGTTACTTTTAAAAGTTTGGTGTAAAATGCAGACATCCGGAAACCCGCTGCCTCAGGAATTTTGACTTTGATCTGAAGCATTTTCAGGGAGTTCTTTTTTAAGAAATAAATACTAATCTATACTTAAGCTGCTCAATGCTAATAAAAGAAATATTACCGTTAAGCTAATGCTTCCCCTTTCAATAAGAATTTTTGCGTAAAATATGATTGTGCTAGTGTTACTATTGTTAAATACCTGGTGACCTGCATAAGCCCTTGGGCATTTACTGGGACATTTGGAACACCATCTATTAGCTCGGCAACTAATTTCCCAAAAAAGGATTTTCTTTTTATTTATGCAGGATGTATAAGAAGCCCCGTGAATTGAAAATGCATGCTTCTGAAACTGAAAAAAGTGTTTCTGTAAACTGTTTGAGACTGACGGTGCTCATATCTCTTCTTTTTGTTGTAATGAATAAGGCCAAGGGGACACAGACAGGTCATGCCAACTGCTATTCCCAGAAAATCCAGCATGTCAACACATGATTCGTGTCAAATCCATGACTTTGCATGAATTTGTTTTACGCGAGTTTATCGAGGATGAATCCTTCATAAGCAGACTGTGGTATCGTCCATCGTGGCAAATAAATGCCTAGTATAAACATGTGTCCAGCGAAAAATGGGAGTTCTTTTAGAACGAAGCCGATCTTACAGATTTTTTTTTACAATTCATTGACCTGGACAAATAGCCTTGTGTGTCAGGCAGCAGTGCTTTGAGCAAGTTTTATGAGAAAGTTTTATGAGATCAAGACAAAACGAGATGATTTTGTGTCTTATCTCATAATATTGGGAACAGCATGCCTAGTAGTATTTCAAACGAGACCAGGATCCAATTTCATTTTGTTTGATCAGTGGATATTTTTGGTCCAACCTTTTATGGTGTCCTTGAAATACTTCTGTCTTCCATAAATGAGGGGGCACACAAAGACATCCACAGCGTTTACCAAGCAGTCAGTAATTGCAGATCTACTGCTTACTTGCAGCTGGTCTGGGTGAACAAAAAGGTCTAGTGACCTTTGGCAAGAAAGGAATACACTGAAAGTATACTTTTATGCAACAACAACAAAAAAAGCTTTGTATGTTTTTAGTGCACTGCAATACACTCCCAATATCTAAGGTATGTTCTTAATGTATACCTTTGACATACTTATGATTTTTGGCGGTGCAGCTCTGCTGCTGCTATCATCCCTCTCTATAAAAGAGGGTGTGCATACTTGGAGTATATTTTTAATATACAATTGTAGTATGTTGCAGGTTAAGAAGGTAGGGCGAGGGAAAGGAAGATGGGAGAGGAGGAAGTGGACGCAACGCTGGCAAGGGGAGGGTGTTTCCTTTTCCCCTCACCAGCGCTGTGTCCATTTCCTGCCCTCCCACATTCCTTTCCCTTGCCCTACCTTCTTCACTTGTCACCAAATGTAGTAAGGTAGAAATATCCTTTAGGCATACCATCCAAGGTGTATGATTTCATTTTATGAAAGTGCAATCTAAGTGTTCACTTATACCTCATTTCAGCATAACTTGGCAAATAACCAAGACCGGCCATAGTGATGAGCCAATCGGTGCATTTGAGTGAAACATGTGATAGCATATCAGTGGATCACACTGCTTGTATGGACAGCTGTCACATTAGTCCCTTCTTCGCTCTGATTGGTGCAGTGGTGCTGAAGAGTTTGCTCTTTGCCAAGCATAGAGTCCATCTAAAGGATCTAGAGGAAAAGGTCTGCCATTTTCCATGTTTTTCGGCAACCTCGGAACGGCAAGGCACAGAAGCAGGCATTGCGGGCCCCAGATTGCTGACAAACCTTTAATAAACAGAACAGCAGCAAAATATTACCTGCACGTACGGTGCCTAGTTTTTTTTATCTTCATTTTGAAGGCCATACCTTGCATGCTTTAAAGCAGTGGTTCTCATATGGGCGTCTGCGAGCCCTTTGATGTCCCTGAAGGCGTTCGTAGGGTCCCCAAGGCCCTCATCCATCAATCGGGCCAAGCGGTAACTTTCTTGTTTTTTTTTTTTTTTGGTGCTGACTGGTTTACAATGCTAGAAAAACATTACAATGTGCACCATGTAAATAGGGTTGATTACTCAACTCTTCATAACAGGGCTTCAGATTTGGTTAGCACACATTTGGTTTTCTTTATTTGCCCTTCTCCCTTTGTGATCTTCCAACACTCTCCCACAATGGTGGGTGGGGTCGCCCATCGACCCCCAAAACATTGGAGGTCGAGAACCACTGCTCTAAAGGAAAACTAAAGCTGACAATCAATTGAACAACTTGAATGCATCGTGGCACAAAACCAAAATACCGGACCATTTGCGTGCTTTCTTTCTCCGGTCTTCTATCGCTCTTTGTTGTTCCTTCTGTCAAGACCACTGATGTTGATGCTTACAGTTTGTCATGCTCACCTCCTGTGTTCTTAGCGGTTCAAAAAGACAAGGTAAGAAAAGTAGGAAGCACGAGCAAGGGCACTGACTTACAACTCATGCGTTTCTCCTACATCTTTGCAAGAAGCAATATCATGATAGAAAGAAAACGAAAAAAACACCTGTGAAATATATGCACTTCACATTGGCCCTTTTGCCAAGTAGTACAATTCTTTGCCAGGTAATGCCTTTTTTGTCCTCCTGTGTGTGTCCGACTTTTTTTGTAGTCTTTTTGCGCTGCTGCCACTGTCAGTCGCCAGCTCGCACGAGCTTCCATCTTGACAAGTTCCCGTTTTGACCCCCCTTGTTGCCAAGTTACATTGAAATGAAGTATAGCGTGCCGCTATCTTGCCAATGACAAGGCATCCGCGTTTTCTTGACGCCCCCTCCCCTCTCTCACGACGCAGATGCTCCGAGCATCGTCATCTTCCCCCGGGACCAGACGGTGGTGACTGGGCGGGTGGCGGTGTTTGTGTGCACGGCGGTGGGCAACCCGCGCCCTCAGATCGAGTGGCGCAAGAATGGCAAGCGAGTGTCCACCAACCGCTACACGGTGGTCGAGATGCCCGGGGGCTCGGTGCTGCGCATCGATCCTGTCCGCACGGGGAAGGACAACGCCACCTACGAATGCCTCGCCGAGAATGGTGTCGGTGAACCGGTCCGGGCCCTGTTCGTGCTCACCGTGCTCGAGGGTGAGTCGCCCGTGGGCCTCTTCCTCTTTTAACCCTTCGACAATCATTGCCGCACCTGTACGGTGGTGATTACATGTTTGAAAATGCCTGCCTCAACGCGAGACTGTGCACACACGGGGCAATGTTGCTGTTTGTTATGTGTTTGGCGAGCTATAAACATTATATTCGCACGGTGTTCTGCTTTGCTGGTGTATTTATAGTTCCAAATTAGGCGCTCTACGCACGTGATACGCGCCATATGGTCCCTTCGCATGTTGGCGGGTCTGGTGGTAGTTACAATTGGAGGGCTGGCTATGACCGTTCAAACTTTTAGTGCGTCTCAGCATTGAATTCAGAGGATGAGAGCTCATTGTTTGATAGAGGAGAAAAGTGGTCACCTTTCTCCAAATAAAAAAGGGTGACCACATTTCTCCCTCGAAATTTCTATTTGATGCCTCTAAACGCAAACAGCTTGCAAGCACTGTAGTTGCTCCCGCTAGATGTAACTAAGAGAAAAACTCTGGGTGCACTTCAGCTAGCCTTTAAGAGTGGAAAACGATAGCATTATCGGGGCCCGTTCACGGAGCCTTCTCATATAGAAAATTTTCCGCTAAATTTGAAAGGAAGAATTTTTCTCTAAACTTGGCGGGAAAATTTTCTGCTAAGTTTGGCGGGTCGATGGGGTCATGACACCACAGCCACATGTGACGTCACACGTGGCGTCACACGTGGCGTCACACGTGGCTGTGCACGCTGCATTATGGGATTTTATGGTCCCACCGATGCCGATGCCGGATTTTGTGTGATACGAGCTCCTAAACGCTATCGCGTTAAAACCTGTGCATTGACCTTTTCTTTATGCTATTTCTTTGGAAGCAAAACCCGACTACATCTTTTGTGCAAAAACCTTGACTGTTAAGGGGTTAAAAGGGCAGTGCAATGTGTTCCGGGGACCCATTTTGAGAATCCGTGTGACAGTTCGCGTAGAACAATAAATAATCTGTTTGTTGTATCAGAGCCACCTAAGGTCCCGGAGCATCTGACTACTGCGAAAACTCGGGAAGTGGCAAAGCTTTTTGGTCGGTTAATACGTCTTGAGATATATATGTTACAATTACCCCCACTCTTTTTTTTTTCCCTCAAGTAATGCATTACCGCATTCGAAGTCACCTTTCTGTGGCATTTCAAAAGAAGTGAAAAGCGCGCGTGCACAGCCTTGACCGCGCTCAAGGTGTGCGAGCTCACGTGCACGCATAGCTTTGCCTTCGTAGAAAGTTGTCCCAGAGTCTTTGGGGCAAATGAACGAAGCGGCCGCCATCTTTCCCGCAGAGAACCAGGTCCCCCCGGGGTTCCCGCAGTTCAAGCTGCTGCCCAACCTGCAAGGGGTGGAGCGTAATCGGAGCGCCCTGCTGCCCTGCAAGGCGGAGGGGGAGCCCGAGCCCAGGCTCTCTTGGCTCCGCAACGACGTGCCCGTCGACATGTCCAACCCCAGATACTCGCTGGCTTCCGGCGGTGAGCACCCACTCCTCCCCCGTCCTTCCTCTCGCTCCCGAGAGCTGTCTGAACGCATCGTTGCCCTGCACACCTTCGGCTTTTAAGCGACAAACGTGTTGCGTCTAGACAATGCAGATTTCACCTCAGTTCTGTGGAGTAATTAAAGTTTTCCTTGAAGTACCATATCTCTTCAGTGCACACGCCACACCTTTTTCCTGAAATTTTCATTATCTTATATAATGTCGCAACTTATATTCTTTTTTTCTTTTTTTTTTTTATAAGCGTGGACAATGCGCAACTTGTACCAATTCTTTTTTTGCGAAAATGGCCGTGTACATGGGACGCGACTTGTACCACGATATGACCTATAGGCGGGGAAATATGGTATTGCTCAACTAGGAGTTTGCAAGTTTTGAAATGTACCTAGTGTGCATTGTAACCTGACATGTTATCTTCTTTTTTTTGCAATTAGTAGAAGAAGGAAAGAAAGAATGCCCGGTTTGTTTACTTGTACTCATCCTTTGTTTCTTCTTTTACTCTGTTTTCGTTTCGCCTTGCATCAATCACCAACTTGCCCAGCAAAGTTACGAAGATAAAGAGTAGTGCGATTTCTTTGACGAACTAGTAGCTGTTGAGAGAGGCGCTTGGATAATTTGAGTGATACGAGGTCGATGTTACTGCGGTGCCTAGAAGGCATCTCTAACTGGCACGTTTACTAAGTTTTTATTTTTGGTCCCTTAATTTTTGACTTGTTCCTTCTTGACTGTCTCGTGCTGTTTCTGGCCCCTTTTCGAAATTCAGTCTGGCCTCCTTGATACTATCATCATCTGAAAATGGAATATGTTCTATACTAATGGTGGCCTCCTGTTTACCGATGAGAGAAGAACTCGAAGGCGCTCCTAAGTAGACGATTCCAGTCCTATACGTTCGAGAGGTTAGCTCGACGCAAAGGAGGAATTGGATGCAAGAACTGCGCTCATTTCTACCTTGGGCCCGGTCAATCTGTTAGTAGCACACAATCGGCTTCAAAGCCCCTCGATGTATACTATACTTTATCGAGGCGTCTATGTGAGAATTGGTGATTCGTTCCCACCGGTTGCACCTTTTTTGCCATCGACACTGAAAGAGATTGAGAAAAAATATATATATATGTACAGTGAGTGAAGCGCACATTATCGTTTGCCGTCGACTCGCGAAAGTGACGGCGCCCAATTAAAATGCTCCAGACTTACAGGCTCCACTGTCGCCATTAATACGGTAAAGGTTAAACTTCCATTTTAGCCACCAGATTAAGCTGAATTCGTGAAGGGGTCTATTCTAGCAGTGGCACAACAGCGGATGTTGCACCCGCTTGCCTTCTTCGTCGGAACTCGTACAGCCAACCGTCAAGGCGGCAATTTCCGGTGGGATGGACCATCTGCTTCCGTGACATACTTCGTTGCCACTCTGTCACCAATCCAGATGCATGCGCGTTGTAGGATGCCAAACGCGTGGTCGGAGACGTTTTTGGAGTGCCACCTATATTACCGAGGCGTTGTCTTACGTTGACCAATTGTTCCCTTCCGTTTTCCCCTCCCCAGGCTCCCTGCAGATCTTCGATGCACAGGAGGAAGACCAAGGGAACTATGAGTGCATCGCCGAAAACAGCGTGGGCACTGCCATCTCGCCCATGGCGACACTCTTTGTCCGCGGTGAGGGGACGACCAGACATCCACTTATGTCAGACTGGCTAAGGATTCTGAGAAAGAGTGCACTGCTTCATTTCTGGCACTTCTTGTCATTCTACATCAGTAATATGATCGGTGCTTGTACTTGCATTGATTTCAATAGACCCTTTTTTGTGTTTACAAACACAGGCCATCTCTTGCCTCCCAAAAGACTTCTGATCGCTCTGTTTGGCGCGTCTTCCGAGCCTGTTGATGTCAAAATTCCTGGGATGACGAAGTTCTGCAGAAACCGCAAAGTTGGAGATTTAGCGAAGTCCCCCTGTTGTGCTATTCAACGTAAAAGGGGGGACCGGTTGCCTTACGGAGTATTAAAAAATTTCCAACAAATTTCTTGCTAACCCATCCGTTAGCTAGCCACCTGGAAAATGGGTCATAAAATATTTCACGAACATTTCAAGAAGCGGTGCTATGGTGGGGATTGTTTGTCCTTTCACTTGACCGGAAGGAAGTTCGTGGGTATGTGAAAAGCAACAGCGCCTCCTTACGACGCTATTAGAAAAAAGGGTCTATATTGTGCTTTTAGGATTACTGCACGAAGCAGCATATCACCTTCTGCTAAGGAGATAATGTTTTTCTCCTTTGTAAAGAAAATAGCGTAGCTTTATGCGGCGTGTAATTTACACTGAAATGCCAAAATATCTTTTATTCTAATGGTAACATAAAAAACCCTATGCTATACGCATAACCAGCACTCTTTTTATTTCATTTTAACGAAGCATCACTTCCCTCGTCTTAATAGTGGCGTCGACGAAAACAAAGTACAGGCCGCAGCTCAACATCGAGCCAGAAATAAGAGTTCTGGTGTCGTCCAAACTCCGCCCTCGTCTAGAGAAACTGCGTTCAAACAAACAAGTCCTCTTTTGTCATTAGGAGCAGTCATTCATGTTTGTGCTCATTCTTGTTTTGTTTTTGCAACAGTTTCTAGCCCAGCTGGCGTACCCTGGGCTATTTTACCTTTCGAATAAAATTTCCACTTCAATTTCTGGCTTTATTATTCGTGCACACAAAAAGAAAAGCTTGGGCATCGTAAAAAAAGCCGTCGGGGAGGGCGGTTCGTCATGGCATATTTGATATTTTTGATGCGTCGCAGGGTGCCAGAGTTTCGGAGGCACTACCCTAAGCGGTCTCGCACAACCAGCGCATTTTTACGAGGTCTCAACGAAGGGTCTTTCCCCTCTTTCCTCGGGCATCCAGTGCGCCGCGTGCCGCCCTACTTCTCCATCCCGCCCGAGGCGTCGTACGAGGTCACCCCCGGGGCGACCCTGAACCTGACCTGCGTGGCGGTGGGCTCTCCAATGCCGTACGTCAAGTGGCGCCAGGGGCACGTGGACCTGACGCCGGAGAGCGACGTGCCCGTGGGACGCAATGTCCTCGTGCTGGAGAACATCAAGGAGTCCGCAAACTACACCTGCGTGGCGGCCTCTTCTCTGGGGAGCATCGAGCACGTCTCCCAAGTGCTCGTGCAAGGTGCGTCCCGAGCCGGCCATTTCGTTCCGTTGTCTCGGCAGCAAAACAAAAGGCCGCCACGCTGTTTTACAAAACGTGGCGCTGTTTATGTTTGGGGCAACGTGCTGCTCTGCGACGTAGAAACAACGCGAAACACGGGTCTTTCGCGCCGTTTGCGTTTGGGAACATTGTCTCAGCTACCCCGTCGGATAATTTTGACATCGTGTTCGGAGTTGTGGATTCAGAATTACGAGTCTTCAGGATCTCATTCTCGTCGTCAGCCTTGGCCGAGCAGCTTGGCCGAGTCTCGTCGCTGAATGTTAGCTGGCGTACTGAAGCTCTCTTAATCTTTTTGGAACTGGTTCTTTCAACTTATAGCACTTTAGAGTGTTGAAGATGCGTCGTGAAAATAGAGAAAAACGAGACAAGTGACAGCATGTGCTCTTCTTTCACGTGGCAGCAACTAGAGCATCCTTGCAAGTTGAAAGAGGGGCACGTGGTGAGGTCGGTCCACTTATATTCGGAGTCGACCTATACGCTGTATATACATGCATTTTTTTTCTTTGAAAAAAGGTGGAAACCCTACAGATACCGCTACCATCCTTTTGGTGGCCCCCCCGATTCCTGCGGCATACAAAAAGCTGAGCGGTGCGAGTGCAATTGGACAAACGTTTGGTCGTCATTGTTCGCCAAAACAATGTACACTCTTGTCTGAAACATTGTTTTCTCTCCATACTGTGTTTTCAGTCTTGTTTCAGTTGGTTTAACTCTCTCATTCACCCAAAATTGTAGTACCGTAGAATATTGTGCATCCACCCATTCCACACTAAGCGCCCACATCCAAAATTTGAAGCATCTGAAAAAACATGCACAGTGCATGCACACTGTAAACAACTTAATTTTCGCAAGGACCTAATTTTCACGTGCGAGTCACCTACAATTCACGAAAAACAGGTCCCGCGAACTATTCTGGTAAAATGTAAACACATTGGAATCTATATTGAGATCCCACCGCTTCGCAAAAATTAGAACCTGCGAATTATTTCGAAGCTTTAGCTTTGACCTAAATTGCAAAATATTGAGCCCACAAAAAGTAAGTCATTTACAGTATGTAAGATTGATGACTTTACATGCACCACCCATATTTTTTCGCTATTACCTTCAAATTTTGAGTGGGCGCTTGCTCGGTATTTTACAGTAGGTATATAGTACACCACTGCTCTGCAGTTATGCACATTGCGTGCTACCATGATACCAGCTGGTGTTAATCCGCATGTTTAAGATACGGCATTCTGGCCATAGAATATCCGAGAAGTATCATGTTAGCGTCTTCCGCCAGTTTCATCGTGATACACTTGTTCAGCAATTTCTTTGGGGTCAAAACTCCGGGGGCACTATGCCACACGGTGGGACCAAGCTGGACCAAGGGACTGGGACAATGCCGTCTGTGGCGATTGGTCAGTGGCGCGGCGCTGACCAATCGCAGCAGACGACGTTGTCCCGCTGCCTTGGTTCTGCTTGGTCCCACCGTGTAGCATGGGGCCCTTGGTCAACCTTGTAGAACCCTCGTAGTGTTTGGGGGGAGGGGAAGGGAAAGGAATGAGGAACCCTTTTTATGGTGCTGCAAATTTCCTCTTTAAGTTTCTCGTGACGGCTGTTGCACAGCACTTCGAGAAAGACAGTGCTGCTAGATGGTTTTTCTCTTTTTCACCCGCAGCCCTTCCGCATCCGCCGACGAACCTGGTGGTGTCAGACGTGACAGCCACGTCGGTGCGCCTGTCGTGGTCTTACGAGGGCGCCGGGGCGGACAACATCCGCTACTATGTGGTGCAGTACAAGCCGCGCCAGTCTAACCGGGACTACAGTGAGACGAGTGGCATCACCACTCCCTTCCACCACGTGCGGGACCTGAGCCCCTACACGGAGTACGAGTTCTACGTGCTGGCCACCAACGACCTGGGCCGGGGCACGCCCAGCGTGCCCGTCATGGTCACCACCGGCGAGACCGGTGAGCCCCAAAGCGCTGGCCCGTTCTTCTTTGGAACCGCCCGTTCATAGGCGTACCAACCGGGGGGGCAGGGTGGGTGCTTGCACACCCCCCCCCCCCCCCCCTCAGTTCTCAGAGTGGGGGGGCAAGGCATGTGTTTTTCCTCCCTTGAAACAGCCGCCACTGGGCAGGACAAATACTGGCCGGCGGCGCCCAAGAGATACCAAGGGCACTACCCCCCAGCTATGAGGTGGGAGGGGGGCCGGGGCATGGTTTGCCTCCCCACTCAAAAAAAAGTTGGTACACCACTGCACCCGTTCCCTGGGTGCGGCAGTACGCTGCCTGGAGCGCGTCTTCGGCCGGCGCGTTTATCGTCGAAGGCGGTTGTCAAATTGGTGGTTGAACGCGTTGGCATGCCACAGTTCAGAGCACGTGGAGCAGAACCTCGCGCCGCGAAACCCAGGAATCTCGGGACCCGATTCCCCCGCCCCTGCCCATTTCGATACGGACGAGCTTCGTACCGGCATGCGGTCGCATACTACAACTGCATGACGCACGTCGAAGACCTCGAGCCAGCAGCAGCACAGCACTGGCTAAATTTCTCTTCTGCGTCGTAAACCGGCGTCGCTGCGTCTCGAAAGCGGACCAACCTTATAATTACAATGCAGTGCAAAGACAACACCAGAAAGAGACAGAGATAGGAAAGAACGCTACTCACAACTAGGTAGTATTTACTGTATGTATTGTACGACGTAAGGACCAACCTTACGTTGTACAAACACGACGTCAGGTTTGGTTTCAGTTTGGTTCTCGAGTGGCAACGGGTGGCGTCACAGGAGCTGGCACGTGGTGCTGTCAGATGTTGCGATCCCCGCGGTTGGTGGTAGAAATGCCAATGAAAAGAACTAGCAGACACAAGCGTCGCCGTCGTCGTGGTTTCCCAACTTCCGGCCGTCGAAGCTTCCGTGCACCGTCCAGCTGGAGAGTGACCTGCGCCATAACGGGTGTTTCTGCCGTGTACAATCGCCGACCGATTTTGCGGGCTTTGCAGGGACCGAAAAAACGTCCGAATAATGGAGCAGTCCGAAAATTCGGCATATAATAAGCTTACCTTTATTATGTTTTAGCGGGCTTCAAAAAGCTGTTTATAGCGCATTGCTTTAGGCTGCGCCTTCGCTTGCGTTCGGCCACTTTCTATTAGCTCGGGAACCGCCGCCTTCTTTTCTAGCATTATGGTTGAGTACTTTTCGCGCTTCGTAGCAAAGCTCGGTGGAAAAATGAGTGAGGTTAGGACGTTCGAGCCAGCGTAGTCCGGAAACGCGATTCACCGAGACGAGATGAAATGTGCAAGACCGCGACCACAGAATGGCGAACGAGCGAAGCAAAAGGGTAACAATGATGACAATAATGACGTGCAACTAGAGAAATATAAAGTTCTAGCATGCGTCATCGAGCGGTAGGACTTAGCAGTACTCAAGTAGCGCTGCCAGATCAAGTCAGTCCATGTGCAGCCAACGTCGAATCTAAAATGGCGGCTTCACTGTGGTTTTTCTCGCCAATCGCTCGCCACGATTTTGTCCGAAAAGTCAAACTTTCAGACTTCAAGCTGTCCGAAACGTCGGTTTTGAATATGTAAAATTTCTGTCGGGTAAATCACGATTCCTCCGTTAGGTCCACAATACCGAACGAGTCTGAAATATTGGTGTCCGAAAAATTGGTCGGCGACTGTACAGCTGGCGATAATGCGGCACGTCTACGACGTCGTAGTACGGAAATCGAGGGATTGCGTTTTAGGATGCGATAAACGCACTGTTCGGCGTTCAAGGCACTACAGTGGTAGTGTGCTTCTCTGCCAGAAGAGTGCGGCTTGGTTGCTACTGCCGTCTAGTACCGAGCAAGCACCCACCCACAGTTTGGAGAGAACCTCGAAAAAGGGGAGAAGGGCATTCGTTCAGTCCAAGAGCGAATACACAAAGGGGCACGTGATGGGGGCGAGCTTCGCCACCTTGGACAGGCACGTATGCATCGGGCGTCGTCCGGCAAGTGTGCTTTGGACTTAGCCGCTTTGCACCGGCGCGTTTGGAGAGGCAGCCGATGCGGAGGAGCATTTCAGCTGTACTCGTCATGTTGAGAAAAAAGGGAAGTTTTGCCCGTTATTCGTGCACCGTGCCAGGTGGTTCTTACGAGGTTTGGTTGTCAAAGGAAGAAACAATGTCTGTGGCGTTCGGAAAGTGTACTTCTCGATAGAATAATGTAAGTCTGATCTAAGAGGCACGTACATATATCTTAATTGAATGCATGACTGGTGAAATTAGTAACTCGCTGTGAGGAGTCGTACGTTTTTTTACTACGGTTCTAAAGGTGATTAGGAGCTTAGGTGGGCTCGGAAATCTGGGGTGAGCGGCTTGTATCTCGTTAGCTTATTTTGGAAATTTTTAAAGGTAACGGCTGGGTGCTTAGTGTGACATGGGCATGCTCGGTATTTTAATAATGGTAGATTGCAGAGGGACAGAGAAGCTGCCCAACATCTTGCCCTGTGCCCTCTGCATCCTTTGATTTCATTTTATTGCGAAGGTATGTAAACAACTGCAGTGGGGTCCTCTACCAAAGTCAGGTAGTTAAAAGGGAAATACTGCATCAGTACTTGAATGCAGAACTGTTGTTTTAAGCATATTACAATTAACTCTGCTGTAAAGAGAAATTCTGCTGTGTAATGCTGGGACCATAGCATTTAAGGTACTGATGTGGCAAAGATAATCATGTAGTAGAGAGGTTTTTTGTGTGTGAGATTTTATTTGTATCCTTGTATGTAATTTTTGACTATTTTGTAAATTATTCTCAAAACTAAACAGTGGTCCCCAGAATAGCTGTCGTTATTGTTGTGCTGTGAAATATTCCTCGATGCATTGCTGCTCTTAAAATTATGTATTTCATGGTTTTCCTTTCTTTGAAAGGTGTCGGCATGTGATTAGAAGCCCTGAAATAATTTCATAAAAAATCTGCAGGTGCTCTCAGTATCTGTTAGGTATGAGTGAAAAGACGACTGGCGTTCAAAGATGGCTTCACTCAGTCACGCAAGTGTTCAGCAGGTTTTTGCTCAAACAGTGGTCTTTTCCACTTTCATTGAGTGACGCTGCAATGCATATTGCATCTTCTTGAGACATACCTTCTCATCAAGTGCTCCTGCTAAATTCGTGCGAGCTGGCTCATGCATGCGCTTATTTGACTTTCTTTTTCATAACTTAGTTTCTGAGTGAAACTCACCCGCTAGTCATCACCATGTAGTTAAGTCATCACCATCACCATGTAACTAAGGGGTGCATGACTGAGTTGTTTCTCTAAGCTAACGTGTCACGAAAACTCACTCACTATCTTGGGAGCATACCAGTTCCAACCAGCTAAAGATACAGTAACTTTTTTAGGTGCTTCTGTATTTAAAAATTGCTTAAAGGGCAACTCTGGTCGAAAACGAAATTGAAATAAATGACTGGTATCGCTTTGCTGCCACGAAATAGGATCATAGGTGAAATATTAGTATGTCAAAGTAAAGCCGTGTACTCCACTAAAACCGATTTTCAAGATGCGACCAGCTGCTCTGTAGTGGGTGACAAGCAGGTTAGGTTGGCTTTTGAGCACTGGCACAGCACCCTTGTGGCGTCACGTCACGGTGGAGCTGCAGTTGATTGGTTGTACTGCGCATCATAGCACCCTTGTGATGTCACGTTGCGGCTGTATGGCGAATGATTAGTGTTGCCATTCCTCTAGCATATAATTTTGGTTTTGCCGTAGACCCCCGGAACAAAACTTTCAGCTGTGATATTTATAAAACTACACAAAATATCGAGAAAACAAATATTTTACTTTGTAATTCAAAGTCACTGCTCTAGCTGAAAACAGCCGTAATCCCGAATTAAAAAATATTGACTGGAATTTCCTTTTAAGAGTGTGGTCTTATTTACTGAAATATCTAAACATCTCCAACTAAATGCAAAGAAGTTAAAGATGCTCACAATGAGGTGGCATGTCAAACTTCAGTCAGGAAGGCACAGCACTTATTATGTTTGTATTTGATTCATTTTTTTATTTTAAACTTCTTAAATATTTTTTTGTAATCCAAGTCTATGATGTAAAAGCACTTTCATTATAGTTCCATTGACTCTCTGTGACGTTTTATTTAGGCTTTAATCTTTGTCTTTTCAAACTTGTGTAGGCACAGAATCCTCTTGACATAATTTCACATAGTTCCACTCGTGCACCATGTATTCAGAGCACAGCAGACACATAGACATCCCGAAAGAGAGCCCTGTGTACCACTGCTGCCGCCGCCGCTGCCGTCCTTGGTGTCGTGCAGCGCACTGCTTCTGTGTGTGTATCATAACCACCGTGCTGTTGTTCTCTTTTTTTCCCTTACCCTCGGCTCCATCCTTCCCTTCGTGTCCCCCTCTTCTCTTTCTTCTCCCTTAAAACTGTCCCTCCCCCCAACCTCAGTGGATTCGGCTGGAGGGAGCAGTAAGTGTGCCGCTCATTCCCGAGACGCTTCTTCCCTCTTTCTGTTGCCGATTCGGTGGCGTCTCAAGTCGGCTGAAGTGTCCTTCTTGCCCGCAGCCTCCATTCTGCTGAAACCTTTTTTCAGCTAGAAGTTTCGATGCTGGAAGTTTCAATTAGGCCCCATCTTCAGTAATCAATCAGTTGATGATTGTATCGTACTAAAAGGTAGCTAGATTGCTCTCCATGTTGACGCTTCTGCCAATTCGAGAGTTCCTGAGTCGAGACGCAGCCCCTGATTTGCACGCTTTGCTTACCCGCATTTCAGTTTCCCACCATCTGATTTTTTTTTTAAATTTTCCTTGGTTGCTTGTCTTGAATTGTGCCACACAGAAAGTTCAAGTTGCATGCAAGGAAGACATGCGCTTAGCTTTCTGCATTGCATTATTCTTCGATTTGAAAAGGAAAACCCCCTAGATTTTTTATTATGCACCCCGCATGATTTGCTGTAAAGTCTGTCACCCTTTTATTACAGTCAAATCTTGTTAATTCAAACTCGAGGTGGGCCGAAAATTAGTTTGAATAAAGCAAAGTTTGAATTGTCAGGAGTTTCCTCCCGTAAAGACGCATAGGATGGGACCTGCATGTTAGTTTAAATTATCCGCAAGTTTGAATTAATGAGAGTCGACTGTATATGCATTACTTTGCAAGGCACGAGGCTTTGGGGCATTACGCCAACCACATGTTTCCTATCCAAAGCTTGGCTTTTGCAAGAGCTCATGCTTACTTGCATGCCTTCACTTCGGGTAAGGGCTCGCTGCAACTATCCAAAAAACCATAATAAATAAATGTCTCGAGCATTTGTAGGATGTAGTTCCCTTGCATTGCATACAAGTAGACCACCTCCCTGTTTTCTGTTACTTAAGGGGTATTCACACGAGGGAGAAATCCCGGGGATTTCTCCCCGGCACGCGCGCATCACGAGATGAAAACGTGAGGCTCTTGCACATCGAGAAGCCTGACGTTTTCGTCGTGGGATGCGCGTGCCGGGGAGAAATCCCCGGGATTTCTCCCTCGTGTGAATACCCCTTTAAGAGCGCACCCTTTTTTCCCCGTTCACCGAAGTAGCTGCCGGGACTGCTGTAGAGTTGACTGCCGGTTGAAGTAGACACTTGCACCTGACTGTGACTGGTAAAGAGGCCGCGGTCCATCTTCCTTTAGGAGTGGATCATCTGTTTTGGTTTCTCAAACTCCCGATTTTCGTTGGAAGGACTGTTGGAAGGACTGGTTGACTTGCACAAACTTTTCGTCTTGTCTACCTCGTTTTCATCTCTTCTTGTCCGAGCGATGCCTCTTTCTTCTTGTATGTGTGTTTATTTAATGATGTGAGGATGAGGTACGCTTGATGTTCAACCTACATTTTTATACAGCTAAGAAAGCAGCTAGATTCTCTTGCCAGTGCTGCTCTGACGTGGTAAATCAAAGGGCACATAGATCACGGACAGAGACGAGAAAGCTAACAGACTACATTGCTGTGGTTTGTTCATCCTCTCGTCTTTGTGTTTCATGTGCTCTTTATTTTTTTACGTTTTACCAATTAGCTCAGTTGCTGTCACCTGTCTACTTTGACATTTTCTCTCCAAAATGGCATGAAGCTGTAGTAGTTCTTTTTTTTTTTTAAGTTTATGAGGTTTCATAGATAACTTCATTCGTCTCTGCTTGTGACATTTTAGGACATGACTTTTTTTTTTTTTTTTTTTTTAATCTGTACTGGTTTGGGGGTAGTAGCTAATCCTTCCTTTTAGCTTGTGCATGTCATTTTTTCTGGGTTCCCGATTGTTTGGTGAAAAAGTGGAGCAGTTCCTGGACATCGGACTGTATTGATTTCTTCTCCTCGGTGGTTTCAGAACCTGGTAGTGCACCTCGGAACCTGCATGCTCGAACCCTGAGCTCGAGTACAGTGTTGGTCCAGTGGGATCCACCTAAGGAGCCCAACGGACAGGTCATGGTGAGTTGTGCGTTTGCCACGGCGCGCCACGAATCGAGCCTTTTTGGATTGAGACCAGCCGAATGCAGCAGCTTCTTGGATTATCTCGCCACAGTTTATAAGCAATGTCTATGATAATATTTACTCGTGTTGAGAATAAGGACGCATGAACTTGCCCAATACATCCATAAATGATACGCATTTTTTAGCTACTTTTGTATGTTTCTCGCCAAGCTGCATTAGTGCCGTGGGTTGTGCACTTAGGGCCGCTCGAGACATCTGTGTTTGAGCAACTGATTGCGTAAGGGGGAGGCTCCTTACGCTTCACTACAGTGCGTTGCACAGACCTCAGTTGCCATTTTAGGTAGCACAGTTCTTTGGGCCAAAGTTTGTTTTCGTCTGGGAATTTGGGGCTTTCAAAAACCTATAGAAGCCAAGGTAGACCGAAACTTGGCCTTTTTCGGCCAAAGTCGGGGTATCTTGGCTCTAATTTGCCAAACAAATGCCACAGTTAGGCTTCACTGCTGGTAGTTTGGCTTGCATCCTTGGGCCTAAGTTGCCAAACAAATGCCAGACTTGGGTTTGACTGCTGGCTCTTTGGTTTATATATGACATCTTCGGCTCAAGTCTGGCACTTTGGCAGTTATGGGGCGAGCCAAAGAAAAGCCATAGAAATAGGTATTCCGATAAAAATGAATGCTTCGGAGTCAAGCCGTATTGGGCCCAAGTTGGGAACCTAGGATTGCCAAGCTTGTGCAAAGTTGGGTGTTTCTCTGGCCTGCTACCTGGGATAGTAGCCACATCATCATAAGTAGTCGTAGCACAGTCTGTCGCACATGGACGTATATGTCTGAATCAGCCTTTAAGGGATCGCTTGAGTGTGGAATGTTAGGCGTGTCCGTGTCGCGAGTGTGCAGCTCTGGCCTCCCGCCGCAGGGGTACAATGTGTACTACACGACCCAACCGAGCATCCCGACACTCTCATGGAGTGCCCAGACTGTGGACAACAACCAACTGACGACCATCAGCAACCTGTCGCCCCAGACCATCTACACCATCCGAGTGCAGGCCTTCACCAGCCGCGGTCAGGGCCCCTTCTCCTCCCCGGTCCAGGTCAAGACCCAGCAGGGAGGTGAGCGGGGCCTGCTTTTGCCGGTCAAACCATTTAGACGGTTTCTGAGGCAAGGTACAGTCGTGTCTCTATAACATGGACACCTCCGTTTCTTGCAATTGTCTTTAATGTGAGTCGTTCCCAATAATTGGGCAAAAATGCGTGCATTTACTCAGTTCGTCGTTGAAAATGTTGTCTGTATAGCAGGGTTCATACTAACAAGACATGTCTATATTGCTTGCCTGAATTGACTCTATTGCCCATTATACATCTGTTAGAGGTGTCACTGAGGAGATTAAAGGGAATCCATTACAATTGCAAGTTTGTAGCTCATCAAACAGTAAAACGCCAATGTGCCATATACGCAATCTGTGGTATCAGTTCCCGTGTCACATGGTTTGTAGCCAATGCCCTCGTGCTTATCAGTATTTTTTTATTTATCAAATTTTGCTGTCTCACTTCAAAAGATCATCTACCCTATATTTTGCACTATTTATCATTGTGGGTGGGCTTCCTTACGGGATTTCACAGTAGTCGAAGACGTGTTCCAGGGCATGTAGCGAGACTTTTTCTCCGGCCACAGTGCCGAGCCAGCCACGCCACCTGCGCGCCTCGGCGGTGTCGTCCACGGCGATCCAGCTGAACTGGACGCGCCCCGTGGACCCGGCGGAGATGGTGGTGGGCTACGAGCTCTACTGGAACGACACGTTCACGCAGCAGCAGGAGCACCGCTCGGTGCCGGACTCACAGAGCTACCTCTTAGAGGGCCTGTACCCGGACACCGTGTACTACCTCTGGCTGGCCGCCCGCTCCCGTATGGGGGAGGGCGCCGCCACGCCGCCCCTGCCCGTGCGGACGGAACAGTACGGTGAGTGGATTGCCTTGGTCATCTGCTTGTGACGCGGTTATGCGGGAATTGTCGGTTCGGACAGAAAGGTTGCGGAATTGGGATGGTCTACGACGTTGAGATGCCATACTTGCTCGATTCTACGGCCCGTTCACCTACTTTTCTACAGGGCGTCTGGATGGATAGCCATTACAAGCTTGGTAGAAGTCTACATTGAACCCCAGTCCATGTTAAATGCCACACTTAGCATAATATTGCATTTAGCTTTTTAATATGGAATGTGTTTAGGCCTGGAATTCACGAAGAATGTGTGATGTGACACCATAAAAAACGTTTATGAAACACCGTCACAGAAAACTATCCCGAAAATCGATTGCAAGAAACTTTTACAAAAATCTTTCACAAGATCCTTTGTGAAAAACCTTTGTGAAGGTATTTCTATCCCGAAAATCATCCTGAAAAACATTTATAGGAACCTTTCATGTGAAACTTTCACAAAAACCTTTATGAAAAACCTTTGTGAAGGTTCACAACCTTCACAACTTCGGGAAGATTCATAACCTCTGAATTCAACTGACCTTTTTTCTCTCTAAATTTTGCGGGATATGTTTTCCGAATGAATTTTGTGAGAAAAAATTCTCCTAAATGGGGCAGAATTTAGTGTAACCTCCAAACACCCAAAAACTAAAAAAAAAACAAAAAAAAAAAAACACTGAGTGCAGCTTGAAACGAGGTCTGCATTTTGCGTCTCCAGACATTACCTGTAGGACTAAAATATGCTTAATTTTTTTCTGCAAAATGATAATTCCTGCATTATCATTTGCTTAGACAAAGCACTGTAAATATGTCTTTCTCTATGCATGGGCTCGGTTCTTGTGAAGCGCCACAGCCAGACTCGAGGTTATAGCCAGGATTTTATGTTTTCGAAGTTTATTTTTTGTAAAATTCAGAGGGTGTTTATCGGTGTTTAATATTTGCTGAAAATTTGGAGCTTATCAAAGTTTATTTTACATTTTGGGTTCTGAAATTTCTTTTTAAATTTTGAGTTTAATTCTATTGTGTTTCTAATCTTTTAATGAAAAATAAAAATAAAGAATATTTGGACACAAACATACCCTCACTAGAACTCACCCGTGTTGAATGATATGTCCACGGATGCATTTGGCACTGGGGCCCCTGCCATTGCAATACTAGCTGTCCCACGACATATCTTGCAAAAAAGTATTGCTCCGATTAACTTCTATACTCTGAAAGAACTAAACACTGGTAGATGTAGTTGGTGGGAAGCGTACAAGCTCCAGCTGCCTGCCCCTCCTGTGAAATCTACAAGTTTTTAGTGTTCACTGTTATAAAAACACAACCCCTCCTCCCTCTAAGAAGCAGAAGTAGCATGCTCCATACTGGAAACAGGAACAGCGACTTTTGTCGTGACCCAGAAGTACAACAAACCTTGACGAGGTAAACAGTATAAACCCTTTTGTCAATACGGTAAGATTTTAAAGGAAACTGAAAGGGCCACTCCTCAGGACCACCAACCCTGTGCTGTTGCAAAATTTATTCATTAAGCACTATTTCTTATTGCTTTTTCTTGCTTTTTATTTTGCCGTTGTGACCTTAAAGTTTTGTCTTTTAATTAACAAAAATCTGACCGGCAAGTGTTTTTTTTTTTAAATATTTATCTAAAAACATGGAACCCTAGTTATAGTGAATTCCACAGTTTTGTGTGAAAAGGGGATCACTGCACCATCATTCACTTAGCTCCTTTCATAGATTGTAATCATTGGCTCTCCACATGCTCTCTGGGAAAGTAAACAGGCAGACATTACTGCTGATCAATGCGCTGGAATCGAGCAAATACGCTAGTTCACCCGCAACCTGGTTCGCGCCATTTATTTATTTAGCTATTTATCGATTAATTAATACGCTGCTAGAAAATGGTTCTTGCATGTATGAAAAACCCTGCCTCATTCACTCTAGCTGTGTCACACCAGGATTTGCATAGATTGACATCTGTGCCTTTCTGCATCTCTAGTCCTCAGCGCTTTGTGCTCTGGAGGGTTTTATCTCACTATTCTAGATGTATTCCGACAGCCATATTAGGTGCTGTAACCTGTCTTTGTCTATATCCACCTTTTGATAATGGCTGGATTGCTGTTTTGAGTTTTCAGTGCATCAAGAAATACTCTGTTACTAGTTAAACAATAGAACTCTTAGCAGGTGTGTATGTAACTTTGAGTGGTTCTGGGAATAGTTGTTTTTTTTACTACGGACTAAGACCATATTTTTTCAAGTGTGTAGCCTTATGTTGTTTCATCATCCTGTTACCTCTGCCGGTCATAATCTCGTTGTACTACTCCTGTAATATGAAAGCTGATTAGCCAGCCAGCAAAATTCAGTTTGTTCAATGACTAACCGAGAATGTGGTGCATTGTGGTATCAAAATGTCTTAGGATTTGTAATTATGGAAGTCCTAAAGCTTTTTATTTGACTCTGTACGCTAAGGAAGATGTTACTGGGGTCATGACTGATTTCTGCAAGATTGTTCTTGTTTCTGATGAATTGTGACACTATGCTGAGGTCATGCCCTCTGGACGATGCAAAACAAGCCTTTGCAATTTCTAGTCATCTGCGTATGGTCACAGTTGTGTTTTCCAGGCAGAAGGAAGCATTAGAAAGCATTTCCTTCTATTTTGACGTGACGCTGGCTTTAGAAGATTATTCGTTTTGACAGTTAACAAAAATGATTCGTCCCTGATTTTTTTTTTTTTGCCACCTCATTGCAAGTAGGAGTGCTTTCTTCACATTTGGCTGCTATCTGTGCATAGTATATATTTGTCTAAGAAACTGTCAAGCGAACAGGGAGACCTTAACTAGGCTTGTCAGTAGTCTATTGTCTGCCAACCAAGATTGGACATTTTTTTTTCCTATTCGTGTCCTGCCACCTTTGCGAAAGATGCGTGTACAGGTCGAAGTTTCTGAAGACGGCAGCCAGCAAGGACGAGAAGTCATCTGCAAGACGACATGCTGGAAGCAACAGTTATACTATTCAAAGTCACTTTTGCTCTTGTTTTTGCCCCTCATACCACCGCCAAGCACCATAGCACTGTAATGTCCATAAGTATGATGTGGAGAATGACCTTCACCGCAAGAGACAGAAGAAAATTGTGCACGCGAAGATGCCATACGGCCCTATGGTGTAGGGCTCTCTGTACAAAGTCTATTTTTCATCATGTACTGACTGAATTGGTGGAGCCATGTTACTAGTGGGATAAAAGCTAATTGCGCGTACAGGCACAGTACTCTCTGGCGTTTGTTCTGTAGCATACAGAGGACTGGGGTGTTGCATAAGTAAAAGTCTCCAGTGACATCCATTTACTATGTAACAGGGCCCTATTCAAATCTAGATAGCTTCTTTGGGATTTTTTATATATAAAGTGTGACATAGCTAGCCCGAACATGCAGTAGACGGTATCTGGCTTCCATTTCTTTCTCACGCCTAAAATGCTGTTATCTAAACTATGAGCAGGGTGGAATGTGCTTATGTGTGGTACAAGTGGGGGAAAATTTCAAGGTCTGACACAGCAAATTGAGACAAGGTGCGATTGTCGCGTTCGGGCTACCTCTGTCGATCATTGTATGTAGCATAATCCATTTAGTGTCGAACGTTTTTGTTGCACCATCAGTTGCCAAGATTAGACAACACCTTTGTTGCGTGGAGCAGTGGTTGCCAGCTGCTGTGCCCGTCTCACTCCCCTTGCACAGCTCCGGCCCGTATTCGAAACGAGAATTCCCATTCCCCGTTCGATCATCACTATCCCGCTCCTATCACACCAGTAGCACCAACAAGGCACCAGTGTTCTCTGTCCAATGGCACGTCTTTGTTTCTTACAATGTTGCACCTGTGTTACCATAGTGACAGTATTGTGTGACTCCTATGGTATACCTCTGTAACACCAGCACTATGCTTCACCACTAAGATCTGTTTGGCTCACCACAGGAAGTGTATGCACCAGCGTTACGTCGATGCATGTTCTTCCTGTGGAGAGCTATCGTACGCTTTCCTCTTCCACTCAGATTCACTTGCGGGGGCTTCTGCCTTTTTGTGCAAAGGGTGACTAGTTTCCATAAATTGTAACTGGATTAGTTTAGAGTTTGTCTCGGCTCTCTGTGTAGCTTATATCAGACATGGAGCATACTGTTTGTGATTGTCTGAAAGTGAGCTGATAGCAGTGATTTCTACTGAAGCATTCAATGTGCTTCATTTACTTTGTTTATGGCCCCTCTATTGTCACAACTGCATTATGTATGGTAATTTTAGGCTGTTGAGGCCTTTCAGGTATTACAATGCTCCAAGACCCTTTACTCCTTGTTTCTTTTTATTTTGCCCCATCTTTTTGTGTCGCTTACAGATTTCGAAGATTGCCCTAATGGGAGGCTTCTAAAGAGATAGGGAACTGAAAAAGTGAGGGTCAAGTTGGAATTTGCGTAATGGCAGGTATATAATGCATCTGTGTTTACTATAAATCAAATTTCCTCAAGGCAAGAGTGTCTTTCAAGTTTCTTGAAACTTCAGATAAAAATAGCTCGTGGCAGATTCTGCAAGCATTTTTGAAAGCTCGTGACTGTGGTCAGAATTTTTCATGTGACAAGCTCAAGCAAGATCTCCCATGCCATTTGTTTGGGTGTAGCAAAAGTGTCCCCAGAAAAATAGTCCCTGGAAGAAAAGTTCCTGGACAAAATGTCCCTAGAAAAAAAGGTCCCAGGTGGAAAGTAGAAAAAAATGTCCCCAAAGGGATCTCTAATGCTGGGGTGCTATGATTCTCATGGCCTTCGGGTGGTTTGGTCATATATCTTCAGGAAAAAAAAACCCAGGTAAGAAGTAGGAAAAAAACGTCCCCAAGAAAGAAGCAAACATATGTTTGATTCCCCGAGGTACCTATTTAGAACTCGTACAAAAGAACCTTTCAAATTTCCCCCAAAACAATAATCACGTTTTAATGCTGGAGGTGTTATAAATATTT